TATATATATATATATATATATATTTATTTATTTATTTATATTTATATTTAGTTATTTATTTATTTATATTTATGTATAGTATATGTGAAATTCCTACTTGCTCTTGAAATAAATTAAAGTTCAAGTAATTCAAGTATAGAATATTCATTAACATAAGAGAATTCCATTTTTTGTTCAATACTGTACTACTTCATTTGTACGGTATTGCCTACCATAATTTTAAAGCATTTTTGAGGCTTCGATTATTTTATGTTTTCTTGTGATATACTTAATTACTTCTTCCGTACAATACTGTACCGTCCTGCTTCGTACTGTACTACTTTGTGTTACCCTCTTTACTTGAATAGAAAAATTAAGTTGTGTAGACAAATGTCCATGTTTTCCGACATTTTTGTATTATTCCTATTCCTATTCTCACCGAACGTTTGATCATTTTCATCAGAACAACAATTCATATTGAATGTGGAATTCTCATATGTAAATAAATATTCTATACTTGAATTACTTAAACTTTGATTCATTTCAAATGTAGTAGCAATTTCCACTTTATACCACTTATATCATTATTTATTTCAAACATGATTTACCTGTCTATTTAGATATTTACTTTGCTCATTTCTAATACACTAATTCATCACTACTTGCATATTAATACGAAATTGCAGTTTTTGTTTCATTTGAATACTAATAAATACTTGTATATAGAGTTAAACTTATTTTATCATTTATTTTTTCAATTCGACTAATTAAATAACATTTTAAATTTTTTCAAATAATTTTTACAAAATTTTAAGTTTTGAGGTTGACTGAAACTCATTTCACAAATTATTTTATTCACAAAAATCGGGAATTAAATTCATAACATTTCTTTTTATTTTCAGATTAATTATTTAACAGTTATTTTGAATAAATTTTAATATTGCATTAAACTGACTAATAATTAGAATTAAATAATTATTGACAATTTTTAGCTGAAATTATTGTAATATACTACATAAAAAGTTTAAATTTGGCAGATTATTGCCAAAAAAAAATTGTCTATCGTTTGTTTTTCCCACCTGGAAACTTCAATCTTGTTTTACAATGGTTGTCAATATATAAATCAAACAATTATTAACTCATAATAATTCTTCATAAAGTTTGAAATTGGCTTCCATTTCCAACTATTTTTTTTCAAATTTACATTGGTAAAAAATTGTTTGCAGTATTTTTGCAAAATTTG